GTCTTTACAATAGGAAAGTGAGTAGACAGGAAGGAAGCGAAGTGGAAGAGAGAAAGGGGGCATAGGTTCAGAAAAGGTCCACGACCTGTCACGATTCTGCTGTGAGAGCGAAGTCAGGGAGGCGAAAAGCCGGTATAATTGTCTTTAATAGAAATTAGGCAGAGTCAATGGCCGTCAAACAGAGAAATAAACTTCACAAATCTCTTTAAAGGGCATATTGCAGGTTAGAGGACCCAACGAGTCAATGCATAGAAAAACAATGTAGGAACTAGATTTTCTTTAAAATATATGTATAAACACGCTACAGAAGCTTCTGCAGTCGTTTTTGTGAGAGAATTTTACTTCCGCGTCTGAAAATGGGCGTGGCGGGCGTGACGCAATGAGCGGGAGAGCGGTCGATTCACACAACAGGAAAACAATGGATCGCATGACATTTCGGACGCTGAGGAAATACTCGTATGACGGAAGCCATAAAGTTATGAGCCTGCTATGCTAAAGAGATCAGGGACAGGCCAGGATAATGTCAGACAGAATGGTCAGAGAAAAATTGAGCTGTGTTGTGAGGAGAACCAGTGGAGAACAGGACAGGTGCCTTTTAGGTGAGAGACGTGCTTATAGGCTATACACGTTCCCTAACGATACACTGTGCTCACAATATTGTACAGATTCTATAACAGACCAGCAGACATTAGTATGTTTAGGGTAGATTTATATACTATTAAATGTATAAAAACTTTACTTGAGTATATTTCTATAGCCTACTAAAAGCATAGGCTATACTCGGGTAAATTTTTAATACATATTTTTCACCTTGGTTATAACATAAACAGAACATTAAAGGTTTGAGTATTTAAACAACCAATTTTGTTTTTCAATTACAAGTTTTATTTAGGGCATGACATGACTACCTATATAACACTATTTGATGCCATTGGTAGTATACCACGATCAATATTCTTGCTTCGGCATACCATGTTGAACTCCATCATATCGCCGGGATGCTAATCATTTGATCTGAAGTGAACGCTACACACGACCGCGTTTCCCGAGCCGATGCAGAAGAGAAATCCCGTCTCTTCACCTGCTCAACCCGCACCAGGAACGAAAGATAGGCTATATAGCACCGTCCCTTTTATTGTAATGGAAACTTGTGGACTCAATCTTGAAGTCCTGACAGGCTGGAGTTTTTGCAATCTCCACAAACACAATAATTTACCATGACGATAAAAAAATTAAAATGCAAAAACTAACGATAGCACACTGACTGACGAGCGCTCTCGCTGAACACCAGCCTGCTCTCACTGAGCCGAGGCTGCGGCTCCCTGCTATGACGTCAAATGACGCGATGTTGAATAAAAAGCCGTTTTTACTAGCAGTCCAAGAAACGCTCACTTTATCTTCTAAATTAGTGTCCTTATGTTGTTTTAAAACATTTTAAATCCTGCATTAACTTTTCATATGGTATTTTCATACAAGGTTATCTATAAATTTCGATTTTTTTTTTTACCTGCAATATGCTCTTTAAGGACTGAGAGAAACACAGGTAGAATCTCCAGCTGACTGGTGAATGAAGAGAAAAGGAGGGCAGGTGCAGCGCGGATCTCTCTCCGCTTCTCCGAGGCTCAGCACTGGACACAACACAGATCGGCTATCGCCTTTGGAGACACAGGACAGGACAGGACTGGACAGGTAACAGATCTTGCAGAGAAGATTTGCAGGTGACGGTCAACAATAATCCGACAAAGAAAGAGAGAAAAGGAGAGACTAGAAATAGAGAGAGCGACTAATGACAGGAGATAGAGAGCAGGTGCGGGAAAGAGAGAACGAGAGCCAGCTGAGGGAGACGAGTAATTAAAGGGACACTTCACCCATTTGCATTCAGCTTTGTATAGAAACCCAGTCATTTTTTTTATTCCCTTATTTTCCCCTGAGATAGGAGAAATAAGGATTTCAGTGTTTTACTTCCTGCTTATTATGACGCAAAAATCATCATTTTGCGTCATAATAAGCAGGAAGTCACAATTCATTAAAGCCACACTGTGGAACTTTTCAACCTTTATAATATATTACCAAAGCCCATTGAGATGGTACATCGACTTACAATAGGTTGAATGATGATGCTGCTGTATCCTGAAGGCAGGGGCGGATTGGCAATCGGGAATACCGGGAACAATCCCGAACGACCGGTCCATTTCGGGCCGAACCGGCCGGTGGTCAATGATATATACTGTATATATATTTTTTTGGATGATACGTTTTATGATAAACGACCGGCGCGGCGGCCGCTCAGCTGCAGCGGAACTGTGTGTGTGTGTGTTTCAGACTTGGCCAAACCAATACCTTCAATCTTGAGGGGGGATACGAGCGGCCCCTCCTAACTTGGACTGATCCTCGTTTTTCCTGACATCCGATTGGCTCAAACTTAAGGCGCCGAAAAAAGAAGTTTGGAGTTTTGTATGAATGCAAGTTGCAACAGAGACGGACATTTAAAAATGCTGAAGAGAAGGAAAGAAGAGAAAGAAATGGGTGGGGCCAACAAAATAAGAATGAAAAAGAAAAAAATGTTGGCACGAGAGGCAGCTAATAAATGCGCCAAATTAACAGACCTTTTCCGGGAAAAGGGTGCTGTGGCAGGAGGTAATGAGGATGGAGGACATGTAATAAAAATGTGCTGTTATCATGTTATAGCCATGTATCCCTCACATGTTTAGAGATATTATATATTATAAAGAGCAGTTTGCAGTGTGTCATCACACACAGACAACATCCTTCTATAAGCAAGTAATCTCTGTATGTATATTAGCTGTTAAGGTCAGTGATGGAGAGGGACAGGTTGAGGATGACCCCTGCAGTCATATTGATGATGAGGGAGAGAAGGAGGAGGAGCAGGAGGAAGGAGAGCAGCAAGAGAAAAAAGAGCAGGAGGAGAAGAATGGAACCAGTATAAAAACAGTGACAGGGGCAGTGTGCAGGGCTGGGTAGGCAATCATATTAGGAAAATAAATCAATCAGATATTTACATTATAGGTTAAAATGCCAATAATTCCACATACTAGATAATAACCTGACTGAAGCACAGATTGAATTAGAAAATGTTTTATTCTTAGTCATATTTATAACTGAAGTTCTTCTCATGCATATGTAGCTGCACATCAGTAAGCAGAGGCAGGGTCCATCACAGGGGAAGCTAAGCTAGTTTTTGAGTATATGAGTATTTGTAACTATTTTATCACTCCAACTGACTGTGCACATGACATGCTGGTAGTTAGCAGTATACTGTGACTTATGTGTTCGAGATTAGGTTTTGCTGACCTGGTTGTGTAACACTATTAGAATTACTATATTAGAATGGTTGTGTAACACTATTAGAATTAAAATAACTGCAAAAAATCCTTCTGCTCATGCACCAAGGGTACTCACGTAAAAGGCCTCTTCATCTTAAAGTCCCGGGCTGAATTTCAGTCCCAGTACGGCCCTGCCTGAAGGTGTCTGTATCGCTTTTACTAGCAGTTTGTAACTTCGGGTTTCAGGTAGGAACCCGAGCACAAAAATACCTACAAAATTCGACCGCTTTACGGCATACGTCACTACCCACACCACCCCAACTTCCTCAGATCCTGATGTGAGTGCTCAACTCGCGTTTGATTGCCGGCTGTATGTTTTCGTCAAAGGCCGAACCAAAACACACATGGAAGAAGGCAACGGTTTTATCAGAGGAAACTAAAAAAAGAAAAGGGGAGAGTGACAAATTAAAAGCCAGGACGAGGATTAACATTGGTCCAGCTTTCGTTTCGCTTGCTGGCGTGAGCTAAAGCACGTCCTGATTTTGCCAAGTGGGAGTTGTCCTGAGACCAATATCTTTATGATGACCCTGGGACAACACCTGCCTCAGCCAATCAACGTTTATGATGTCATCACCGTGTGCCCCCTGTCGAGTCCGTCAAATTTAAAAAAAAGAAAAAAGAAACACACCAACAAGCGCACAAGTTACAAGGTAAGACCAACTTCTTACATTCATTAACAGCAGTCTTGTACTACAACTAAGCATATTTGTTTTTAGAATAAGGTTAGCATTTTTCCTCCAGTGAAGAAATGTAACGCTAATTAATTAACAGGATGTGCTAAACAGCATCGCTGACATTCTGGCTCTTAAAATAAAAACTATAAAAGATGAAAATACTGTTTAGATGTTTATATTTTTATAGTGTACCTAGCTACAAAAAAAAAAAAAAAAAAAAAACAGTTTTTTTTTTTTACAAAAATTAAAATTAAAAATAGAAACAGACTGGTGCGACAGAAAGGTTTCCTAAAATCGGTTTTAAGTAATATTACGTTAGCATTTGCGCGTCGCACTGACCATTCAGACATGTATGATGCGAAAAAATCAGCAACACAAAGATGATGCCAATAGTACAACACAACTTCTTGAGGGTGCTTTCAGAGACAGTGTTATTTTTTATCAACCTTACAGTCCACAAACAGATCTTGTCATAGTTCTACAAACACCATCCATGAGAGACAACCTTCAAGAATATGGAAGAGATATTGTGTTTATGGATGCAACACATGGCGTCAACCAGGATGGCTTTCCTTTATTTACATTAGTTGTCAGGGACAGTCATGGTCATGGCATACCCATTGCCTATATCATCTTGGGAAATGAAAAGCAGGCCACGCTTCAGTTGGCACTGGAAAAGCTGAAACCAACATTTCCTGTAGCTCCAAGGTAATACAAACAGATATACTAGTAAACAAAATAAATGAATATTATTATATAACGTATTGGTACACAGTTCCTTAAGATTAAACTTTTTATGCATGTCTTTATTTCAGGTTCATTATTCAGTTTATTAATTCAACTTCATTTTTTGTTTCTTCAAAGAACCAGAACAAACTTGTATTGATTTCTTAACTGCATTCTCTGATTAGCCTAGGTGTTATCTCCATGTTAACTAATGAACCTTATTGTAAAGTGTTACCTTATTTTCATTAGGTGCTTTATGGTTGATAAAGACCAGGCTGAAATCAATGCTATCCGAAAGGTATTCAACGAGTCACATGTTCTCCTTTGTTGGTACCATGTAACCCAAGTAAGTACTAAGTTAAGTTTGAATGGAGGCTGCTTTGATTTTTCTTATTTTGCATTATAAATCTATTATTGTTGTGCTAAAATTTCAATCAAAAACAGTTACATTTTCAAAACAGCCTGTTAATGCCACTTGATATTGTAAACTGGTATTTTTTTTTTTTGCCATATCATTTTAATGTATTGTTGGAATTATAAACATATGGGATTTCTAAAGCAATAACATAATTACATTTTTAATGTGGTTTGAGTTCACTTTAACTGTAGACAATTGTTGCCATCAATTGATCACAATAATACTAGTCAAATGCATTAGACTATTTGAATGTCTCACCAGTTTACATTATTTTATATTTCCCCACTATTTATTACACGAAGGCAGTAACTCGCTGGCTGTCAAGATCTGAATCTGGAGTGAGTGGACCTGAAAATGCAGATTCAAGAGCACACATCATGCAGTTAATGTCGGAGCTGAAATCCTGTTCCACGGTGTGTTGTTACTTTTCATTTGTTTTATAGATTAATTATAGGTTGTAGTGTTTTAGTTTTTTTCTCAATGGTAGCAAGCAATGTATGTGGTCAGTATCTCCAAAATGTTATTATTTTAACAGAATAAGAGAAGAAAAAATGGAAGCAGTAGTCCGCAAACAGATGAATAAACATCTTGCAGAAAGTACATCCAAGAAAACCAAAAAGAAATAAAAAAAAAAATAGGATAAAAGATTTGCAACTTTATTTGTGACCTCTGGACCATAAAATCCTGTGAGCTTTTTGGCCAGTTTTCGTGCAAGGTGGACGATATTACCGCCTTCGAAGTTTAATTACGAGATTGAATGGGGTATCTTATATAACAGAATAAGAGGGATCATACATTTTTTTTATTTTAGTTCTGTCCTGAATGAGATATTTCACTTAACAGATATTTATATATAGTCATCAACAAAAAATAATTGCTAAATTTATGATAATGACCCCGTTCAAAAGTTTACAAAAGTAAGAATTATTTCAGCCTATACTTTGAGGTGGATCATTGTTTTAGTTACTGCAAATAGAATCAGTATGTTTGTTTATGCTATTATCATTCATATAGGCCTAAATAGCTTTAGAAAAATGTATCAAGAACATGACATTCTCAGTACACTAACTGCACACACTAGGATGAAGGTCTATGTTAAGGATTACCTTTATAACTATTCTAGTGTAACTATTCTTACACTAATAACACAAAACAACATAATTTTCCTTGTCCATTTTTACAGGAACATGAATTCAAGAAAAAAGCTGAGACGTTTCACTGCCAGTTTAAGAACTTAAAAGATGTCTGCAAGTACTTTAGGAACCACTGGGAGCCAATTGGACTTCTGTGGTCTAAATTCGGAAGATGTTATAAGCATGGAGACTCAGAAACAAACAATCTAATAGAACGGTATATGTTTTTATGCATGTTCACCTCATTTATTAGTGGGATAACTGAAAGCTAGCATGGTGTTTTGCATATTTTTTAATTTGTTTAAGAGTACATTGTATTTTTTCAAACCTGTTGCTGCTGCTCATTCAACATACTGATCTCTCTGCTTTCATTTACGTTATAGCTTCTTCCACCGTTTAAAATACCAATTCCTCTGTGGCGTCCGGAATCGTAGATTGGATCATTTGATTGATGTGCTACTGAACAAGACTGGCTGGTATTTCAACATAATACAGGATTTGCAGTCTGCTGGGAGGATCTATAACCCTCTGGAATGTAAAATGGAAGAAATAAAGAAGTCTGCTCAGAGGATGCTAGACAATGGTTGGGACACAGCAGTTACTGCAGCTTCAACAGAAACATACGTATACAATGTTCCATCAGAAAATAATCCACATGTAGTTTACCATGTATGCCCTGCAGAGCAGTTCTGCAATTGTCTCGCTGGTACAAGGGGGCGTACATGTAAGCATCTCATTTTATTAAGTCTTCTCACTTGTGGTAATGGTGAGACCTTTCCAGATATGGACACACAACTGCAAGCCCATGACAACAACTTGATTCAAAAGAATAAGTATATCATTTCTACAAAGCCTCACAAAACACTTGAGGTTGAAATCTTATTTGGAAGAGCAGTATCAAAACCATGTATAGTGACAAATGTATGTGACTGCTGTACTTTCTCACATCATAAAAAATGTGCTTGTCTACTACTTGCAAAGGGACTTTTAAATGAGATGAGTGAGATGACATCAAAACATGCAATTAACATTTCAGTGGGGCCTATACATGATGAAATTGCAGGTGAAGATAGGCATAGTACAACTATCAGGAAACTGGAAAGCATATTGAAGACTCTACAGACCTGGGAGAGAATTCCTGAGGACATTGCCCATAAAGTCAATGAACTTGAAGAGCAAACAAAGAAAGAAAATATAAACTTTAAAAGATTTGTGCGACCTTGTGATGAGGACAATTCGCGTAAAATACGCCCACTATTTGCAAACAGAAAAAGAAAGACTGACAGAAACACTGCCTCAGAGACTAGGACAGATGTCACATCAAGTTTTCCTATTAAATCAAGAAGAAAACACAAAGCAATCAGTGGTCCAAAAAGATACAAATAAGGTTTGACAAGAACTTTTTATTCAAATGGAGTTTTGCCATTTTATTAAACATTTTACTTGTTCTCCACTATGAGTCCTCCAGAAAAGTTACTATAAAACAATTGACTTGATTGTTCACATTGTACTATAAAACAATTGACAACGAAAATAAAAGCCTTCTCAAATATCAAATAAAGTAATGAGCTTTTATTTTTTTATTTAGAAATAAGCTGATAACAGCAACAATTAGTACATGTGTGCAGAAACATGGGTACTGTTTATTTCAAAGAGTCCTCTAAAAAGGAAAAGAAAACCTCAGCCGCTGTAGGCCCGAAGCGGTGGGTGGCCAAATCCAGCTCAGATTCAGGACCAAGGTTCCCTATCGAGGGAACTCAACACTGCGTCGATAAAATCGACTCTTTGGGGACGCTCCCTAAGCGTGCGCCTCTGAAGTATGAATGAAACGTCTCGGGTTATGACTATAACCCTTGTTCCCTGAGAAGGGAACGAGACACTGCGTCGAGAATCGACACTTTGGGGGACGCTCCCTAAGCGTGCGCCTCTGAAGTATGAATGAAACTAATCCAATCCTGATTGGTGTTGCGTCGTGACGTAACATGTGACGGCATACCCGGAAGTATAAAAGTGACGTTGTCACAACACACACTAGCCTCGCGATGAAGCAAGACGCTCTAAGGCCTAAAGGGGGCGTGGCAGAACGACGCAGTGTCTCGTTCCCTTCTCAGGGAACAAGGGTTATAGTCATAACCCGAGACGTTCCCTTTCGAGGGAACTCTACACTGCGTCGAGAATCGACACTTTGGGGAACGAGTGCCCACTAGGCCACGCACCGAATAGGCCTGTCCTGGAGTGAAACTGTTTAGGCACTCAGCAAGGACTGAGCACCTGTGCACCGGGTGTACTGGGAAGGTGGAGACTGTAAAATTTTATGAAAGTATGTGGGGTAGCCCAGCCGGCTGCCTCGCAGATCTCCTGAAGAGGTACTCCCGAAAGAAGGGCCCTAGAGGAAGCCATGCCTCTAGTTGACTGTGCCCACAAGGTAAAAGGTGAAGGCAAACCGCGCACCTTGTAAGCCTCAGTAATAGCCTGGACGATCCAGTTGCTAATAGTTTGTTTGGTTGCCGGGAGCCCCCTCTTAGGTGACCCAGAACATACTAGTCCAATTGTTCCAACCTTCTCCAAGAAGAGGACCCCTCAAGGTACAAGCTCAAGCTCTGACTGGGCAGAGCAAGTGAAGCCTCTCCACTTCCGCCGACACATGAGGTGGAGGATGGAATGCCTGAGGGACTATAGAATGAGCCGTATTCGATGGAACTTTAGGCACGTAGCCCGGACTCGGGTGTAAAAAGGCCTTCACTCTGCCAGGGGCAAACTCCAAGCAAGCTGGCATTACTGCCAGGGCTTGGAAATCTCCCACCCTCTTAAGTGAGGTAATTGCTAAGCGAAAAGCCATTTTCAGTGTTAAGTCCTTAGGCGAAGCCGACTCTAAAGGTTCAAAGGGGGCAGGGATAACCCCTCCAGAACTATTGCCAGGTCCTAGGCAGGAACCCTGGACCTGGCTGCCGGCCTCATCCTCCAAGTACCAAGGAGAAACCGAATGACCAACTGGTGCCTCCCCAGAGGCCCATCACTTAACGGTGCGTGGAAAACCGCAATGGCAGCCACGTACACCCTAAGCGTGGACGGGGAGAGACCCTTAGAGAAACGATCTTGGAGAAATCCCAGAACTGAAGCCACCGGGCAGTTTACTGGATTTAACCCAAGTTCTCTACACCAAGTGACAAACACATTCCACTTGAGGTCATATAATCTCCTGGTGGATGGAGCCCAAGAGCTAAGTATGGTTTTCTCAACAGGATGTCTGCCCCCTGATTCTGAACCCCCGGAATATACATTGCTCTGATAGAGAGTATTTTCCCTTGGGACCAAAAGATAATCTGATGCGTCAGTCTGCACAGAGGGCGCGATCTGATTCCCCCTTGTCGGTTCAGATAGGCTACCACTGACCGTACTAGGACGTGGTGACCTTTGATGTCTGGGAGGAAGCTCCTCAAAGCCCTGAACACAGCCATCATCTCTAGGCAGTTTATATGCCAAGAAAGATGATGGTCCTGCCATAGACCCCTGGCAAACGGTCGTCCATGACCGCGCCCCAGCCAGTGAGGGAGGCGTCTGTCGAAACGGTTTCCCGGCGACATGACACTCCCAACACTGGCCCAAGGTTTCTTCCATATTCTCAGAGAACAAAGGCATCTGCGCGTTACTCTGATCATACGAAGCGGATTCCCTCGGGAGAAAACCCCTTGGTCTTTAACCACCACTGAAGGGGCCTCATGTGTAGCAGGCCCCAAAGGAATGATGTTGGATGTCACTGCCATGAGGCCCAGCATTCTTTGAAATTGCTTCACAGTGATGGCCTGGCCTAGCTTTACCCTGGATACCAAATTTCAAAATTGTAAATTTTCAAAATTGAAAATTTGACTCGTCAAATTCGTCAAAAAATCGTCAAAATTGACTCGATACGTGCGGGAGACATGCGTGCCTACATCGTAATCGAGTTCCATATGACTCCCAAAAATGTCGTACACTGGGATGGTTCTAGCACACTCCTCTTTGCATTGAGTCTCAACCCCAATTTCAGAATGTGGCCAAGGACGACATTTCGATGCCGAACTGCCATTTCCCGAGACTGAGCCAGAATGAGCCAGTCGTCGAGATAAATCAATATATGGATGTCTTGAAGTCTCAGTGGAGCAAGGGCTACATCCATAAATTTGGTGAATGTGCAGGGAGAGCGTGCTAGGCCGAACGGAAGAACCCGATATTGGTAAGCTTCGAAAGCGAACCTCAGGTATCTCCTGTGACATGGAAGGATGGAGTGAAAATCTTTTAGATCTATCGTGACAAATCAGTCCTCTGATCTGACTCACGATTACTGGAGTTAACCGTTCGAACCTGCACCTCCCTATTCAGAGATCGGTACAAAACCCCGAGATCTAGAATTGGCCTTAACCCCCAATCCTTCTTTGGAACTATAAAGTACCGGGTGTAAAACGCGGACCCCCTGTCTGAAGGAAGAACACGTTCTATGGCTTCCTTTAGCAGCAGAGTTTGAACTTCTTGTTCCATCACCTGAGCCTGCTCTGGGACCACTGTAGTCTGTACCACCCCAGAGAACTTGGGGGGCGGTGTGCAAACTGCAGTCTGTACCCTGATTCTATTATATGTAGGACCCATGCAGATATGTTGGGAAGATGATACCATGCCTCTACAAAATATACTAGGGGTACCAGCCTCTGGAGAGTGGCCTCTGGTTTTTTTTTTTTTTTTTTTTTTGTCTTTCGAGAGCATCTTTCTCGACTTCCTGAAGCGGAATACCGGCAGGCTGTAGTCGATATGGATGTTTTGACCATAAACGATGCTTCGTTATAATATTTTCGCTGGAAACCGATGTGGCCCGAAGCGTCGCTGACGGCAGGCAACATACATCGTTTCCTGTTTAAAAATATTCAGGACCCATATAGATATATTGGAAGGTGTAGCCATTCTGCAAAATCTACTAAGGGAACCAGCCCCTTGAGACCGACCTCGGGTGTCTTTCGAGTCCCTGAAGCGGATGACCGGCAGGAAAAAGTCGAGAAAAATTTTGTGACCACAGTCGGGGTGAACGCCACAGTGTGCGTTCGCTGGAAATCGATGTAGCCCGAAACGTTCAAAACGGCGGGACAACATATATATTTTATATATATATCTTATATATATTTATTTACTATATATATATATATATATATATTATTTATTTATTCCTAAACCTGTCGACGATTGAAGTTACAGCGCCGGAGAACAGGCCAGTTTCCCTTATTGGAAAGGAGACTCGTAATTTTCACGAGAGAAAATTTGCCTCGACAAACGAGAGATCCGAGTCAAAGTTTCCGTATTGCAATGCAGACCTTAAATCTACGCGCTGCAGTCACAGAATCTTTATTGCAGAGTAGACTCGTAATCTACACGCTGCCTCGGCAAACGCAAGAATTTAGGACACTGGGTTTGGAAACACGGGACGAATGCGGTTCATCCCCCGATCTCATGATCTTTTAGTGGAGATCGGGGAAAAACGGCAAACTCCGGCGCTGAGGCTGTGACCCGTGCCGCATGAAACGCAATTTATTTAAACTTGCGTTTCCCTCCTCATTTTGTGGCCAGCTGAAGTTCAGTCTGGCCACGGCACGAGTCACAACCTCACCAGTTCCTCATATGCTTGGCCGTGAACTGGCGCGCCTAACTCACGGTCATCCGTATCGATACTGAGCACGTCTACTTCCTTGGAAGCAGAGAGCCTGAGTATCGGGACCTGATCGTGGTCAGAAGAAGCCGCGGCGCGGACTTCTGCGCCACTCACAGGGGCTACGGGATCATCAGACGATGAATGAGAAAGTGCCTCAGCAGTCTCATTCTCGTCTGCAAGATCCCGCTGTGAACCCCACGATCTCAATCGCCGCGCCGCCTCAACGGACGCGGGACCAGAAACGCAGGGAACGCAAGCCTGACCGTGCTCATCAAAGCACGCCAGCCGGGAGCGCAGCACTCTAATAGGAAGTGCTTTACAGTCTGCACAAGTCATGCTGCGCTCCCAAACAATTTACACACAAAGCATGTGCGTCCCCACCTGTGACATAACGAGGGCAGAGATGCACACATCTTTTTAAATTGCTCGCTGGCCATTTCCAGTTCAAACTGAGTGACAAACAACACCAAATAAGACAGACAGTTTCAACATAAAGCGCTTGCTGAAGAGCGAAAGCTAGTGTGTGTTGTGACAACGTCACTTTTATACTTCCGGGTATGCCGTCACATGTTACGTCACGACGCAACACCAATCAGGATTGGATTAGTTTCATTCATACTTCAGAGGCGCACGCTTAGGGAGCGTCCCCCAAAGTGTCGATTCTCGACGCAGTGTAGAGTTCCCTCGAAAGGGAACTAATCCAATCCTGATTGGT